CCGGCGAGTGCTGCTGTGGCCTGAGGCAAGCAGCAGCAGCAGCAGCAGCAGCAGCAGACGCTGTAGAGATGCAGCACGCGCAGCAGCGATGAGAGCAGCAGCAAGATAAGCTTCAGTAGCAGCACCAGCGGCTGCTGACACAGGACAAGAAGCAGCAGCAGCTGCAGCAGCAAAAGCCACGGGAACAGAGCCAGAAGTAGCAGTATCAGCAGCAGCAGCAGCAGCAAAAGGGAGCCACGCACACAAGAGCCACAGAGTCTCGGGTCAGCGCCTGAGCGCAACGCCGTTGCTGCAGCAGCCATCGGCTGCTGCTGCTGCTGCTGCAGCTGCTGCTGCAGCTGCTGCTAGGAAGCCAAGTGCGCGCTTCGACAGCTAGAGTTCTCTTTGAGGCAATTTGCTGCTCGTGCTGCTGCTTCGGGGGGCACCCAGGAAGGCCCAGCTGCCACCGCTGCTGCTGCTGCTGCTGCTGCAGCTGCTGCTGCTGCAGCTGCTGCTGCTGCTGCTGCTGCTGCCGCAAAGCCACACGCAGCAGCTGCAGCCGCCGTAAGGGCGTGAGCATTAGAGGGGCGGGGCCCTGGGCCACCTTCAGCAGGCTGGACATGAGGCGTCACAGTATCTGCCAAACCCTAAACCCTAAACCCTAAACCCTAAACCCTAAACCCTAAACCCTAAACCCTAAACCCTAAACCCTAAGCCCCAAATCTCAAACCCTGAGCCCATAAATGTGTGTGTCAAACCCTAAACACCAAGCCCGAAACCCTGATCTTTCAAGCCAGACACGAAATCTCATGCCCTTCACCCTAGACCCTGAACCTTAAACCCTAAACCCTAAACCCTAAACGCTAAACGCTAAACCCTAAACCCTAAACCCTAACGCACCCTGGCAAAACATGTGGCCACACTTGACCAGCACGTGATCTTTAAAACGCTCATTGCAAACCCCGCAAAGAAGCCGTCTCTGAGTCACACACAAAACCCTCAAGCCTAAGCCCTAAATCCTAAACCCTAAACCCTAAATCCTAAACCCTAAAACCTGAACCCTAAACCCTCGGTGTTTCCTCACTCGCATTGTCTCATTTTCTTCTTGCAGCAAGTTGTTAATCGCCAAAGAAGGATCCTCAGCGGCTGCCAAGACTGCGCACAGCACCCCAAACCCTAAACCCTAAACCCTAAACCCCAAACCCTACTACAGCCCAAACCCTAAACCCCAAACCCTAAACCCCAAGCCCAAAACGCCAAACCGTAAACCATAGACCCCAAACCCTAAACCGCAAGCCCTAAACCCTGCACCGTAAACCCTAAACCCTAAACCCTAAACCCTCGCGGACAGCTCTGTGCTGCGCCTGCTGCAGCGCGTCTGAGAAGGCCCTCGTCTTCGCCGTCAGCTGCTCCATTTGCTGCTTCTCCAGCTGCAGCTTTTGCTCCTGCAGCCGGCCAATGCGCAGCAGCAGCTGCTGCTGCTGCTGCGCTGCTTCTGCTGCTGCCTTCTGCTGCAGCACCGCCTCGTCCCTAAACAGCAGCAGCAGCAGCAGCGAACACACGCGGCTCCTCATGCTACTACTGTTGCTGCAAGTGCACTTATACGTGCTGCTGCTGCTGCAGGTGCAGCAGCAGCAGGACCCCTGCTGCTGCTGCTGCCCAAAGAGCAACAGCAGCAAAAGCAGCCCACTACTGCCATCACTACCAGCATCAACGGCACCAATCAGCAGTAGCAGCAGCAGCAGCAACAGCAGCAGCAACAGCAGCAGCAACAGCAGCAAACCTCTCTCTTAGCTGCCTCAGCAGATTTTCACAATGCGTCTGCCGCTCCTCAAAGGCCTTTGAGACCTCTTCCAGCTCTTCGGTCACGTGGGAGTATTGCTGCAGCAGCAGCAGCAGCAGCAGCAAAAGGGTAGGTGGTGGAGCAGCAGCAGCAAAAAGAAGCGCAGCAGCGCCAGTGCAGAAGAAGCAGCAGCAGCGCAGCAGTAGCAGCAGTAGCAGCAGCAGCGGTTCAGGTTGAGCAGCCTCAGTAGCGGAAAGAAACACAGAAGCAGCAGCAGCAAAGAGAAGCATCGCAGCAGCAGCAGCAGCAGCAGCAGACCCGCAGCCTTCAAGAACGGCCCAGCCTGCTGCCCGCTGCAGCTGCCCTCTGCTAATTCCAAACAAATCAGTTAATTATTAATTTACTATTTTATTTATTATTTATTCATTTTTATTTATTTATTTATATATTTATTTGTTTTGATTTATTTATTTATTTACTTCTTACCTGTCGGAGCTCCGCCACTTCTGCTTCGAGCGCCTGCTGCTCGTTGAGTCTTCGCTGCATCGCCTGCAGCAGCAAATTGGAAATAAATAAAAACTAAAATTAAAATTAAATTAAAATTAAATTAAATTAATAATTAATTAATTAATTAGTGGCAATAATAAATAATAAATACATGAAATAATGGAAATTGCAAAGATGGCATAAAGAGAAAGAAGCTGGGGAGAGCAAAATGCCTGAAACGGCGCAGCAGCAGCAGCTGCTGCTGCTGCAGCAGAAGCAGCAGCTGCTGCTGCTGCAGCAGAAGCAGCAGCAGCAGCAGCAACACGCCAAACGGTTTTAACCTATTTGGGCTTACTTGCATCTCAATCCGCAGCAAAGACTCGCCGCTGCCATTATCCCCAGCATCATCTTTTGCTGCTGCTGTTGCTGCTGCTGCTGGTGCTGCTGCTGCTGCTGCTGGGGGCGAATCTCCTGATGCCGCTGCTGCTGCTGCTTTCTCTGCTGCTGCCGATTTGTCTGCTGCTGCTGCTTTGTCTGCTGCTGCTGCTGCTGCATCTGCTGCTTCACGCATGGCATTCTTCAGCCGCAAGCAGTTCATTTCCTGCACTCACAGCGCAGCAGCAGCAGCACCAGCAGCAGCTGCAGCAACAGCAACTGCAGCAGCACCAGCAGCAACAGCTGATGCTCAAACAGCAGCAGCAACTGCTGCATCAACAGCTCGTGCTCTAATAGCAGCAGATCCTGCAGCAGCAGCAGCAACAGTTGATGCTCGAGCAGCAGCAGCAGTAGCTGCAACAGCAGCCTGCGCCCTAACTGCAAGAGCAACAGCAGCAACAGCAGCAGCAGCAGCAAGAGTAGCAGCAGCAGCAGCAAGAGCAGCAGCAGCAGCAAGCTTACGGAGAGCTTGAGAGCCTCTATCATTCTTTGCTTCTCTATCTTCAGCCGTTCGTTCCGCACTGCAGCACACATATAAAAGTAGAGCCTATGCAGCAGCAGCAGCAGCAGCAGCAACAGCAGCAGCAAAAGCCCAAGCAGCACAAGCACCACCCGCAGCAGCACAAACAGCAGCAGCAAAACCAGCAGCAGCAGCCGGAAAACCACCAGCCGGAACAGCAGCAGCAGCCTAAGAAGCAGCAGCCTAAGCAGCAGCAGCAGCCTAAGCAGCAGCAACGGAGCTGCTGCCAATTTCGCAGCAGCCCCAGCAGCAACGGCATTCGCTGCCGCTGCCCCTGCTGCTGCTGGGCCGCCGCTGCTGCTGCTGCTGCTGCTGCTTACGGAGCACTTGGCTGCTGGCGTTCTTGAGCTGGTCGAACTGCAGCTTCGTTTGCATTTGCTGCAGCGCCCGCTGCGATGCTGCTGCTTCATACTGCTGCTGCAGCACCTTTGCTGCTTCTAGCTGCCCCTTAAGAGACACGACCTGCACAAGCAGCAGCAGCAGCAGCAGCAGCAACGGCAGCGATAAAGGCCCCTGCAGCAGCAGCTTGATTTCTTTGCTGCTGCTGGTGCTGCTGCTGCCTCTGCTGCTGCGCCCTTCGCAGCAGCAGAGGCAGCAACTCGAACTACTTGCTGCTGCTGCTGCCTCTGCTGCTCTTGCTGCCTCCGCTGCTGCTCCTGCTGCTGCCTCTGCTGCTGCTGCTGCTGCTGCTGCAGTAAAAGCCCGTCAATGAAGGCGCCGCGCAGCAGCAGCAGCAAACGAAGACTAAACGGCGAGCAGCAGCAAGAACAAAAGAAGCAAAAAGGAATTAAAATAAAACTAAAGTAAATAAATTAAATTAAATTAAATTAATTAAATTAATTGAATTACTTAAAACTCACTTCTTGTGCTGCTGCTTCTTTTGCTGCTTTCAAATTCTCTATTTCCTCCAAGAGGCTGCAGACCTTCTCAGACAGCTGCTGCCGCGCCTCGCTCTGTTTCCGCTGCCCACAAACCCTAAACCCTAAACCCTAAACCCTAAACCCTAAACCCTAAACCCTGAATTCTTGGACCGCGGCGCCGCAGCAGGCCGCGCGGCGCTGCGAGCAGCTGCAGCCGCGAGAGGAAAAAGGGTTTAGGGTTTGCGGTTTAGTAGGGTTTGGAAATTAGGGTTTAGGGTTTGAAGCTTAGGGTTTAGGGTTTAGGGTTTAGGGTTTACTGCCAACTCCTCAAATGCAGTGTCGGCCTTCGTCTGCTCCTCGAGAAGCTCTCGACGCAGCTCTTCCACTTCCGCAGACCTCGCCGCCTGCAAAACCCTAAACCCTAAACCCTAAACCCTAAACTCTAAACCCTAAACGCTAAACCCTACACCCTCAACTCTAAATCCCAAACTTCAAAGCATAAAACCAAAACCCTAAAGCCAACAAGGGGAATTCTGCGCCATCAGCCGACCCTAAATCCTAAACCCTAAACCCTAAACCCTAAACCCTTAAAGAGGGTTTACGAGTTGCGCGTCTCTCTGCGAACAGAGCTGCTGCAGCTCTATGAAAGGGGGGCTCCTCATGATTTGCATTCGCTTCAGAGTTGGCATTGCTGCTGCTTCGTCTGCTGCTCTTCTGAGCTGCTGCTGCTCCTCCAGCAGCTCCTGCAGCTGCTGCTCCTTTTGCTGCAGCTGCACTCGCAGCACTGCAGCAGCAGCAGCAGACTCGTCGTCGCTCGAAACTTCCTGCTGCTGTTGCTGCTGCTGCTGCTGCTCGCTCCTCGCGCCTTCTGTGGCCTTAGGAGTTGCTGCTGGTGGGGATCCCTTCGCTGCTGCTGTTGCCGCTGCTGCTGCAGCGTCTGCTGCTGCTGCTGCTTGCTGCTGCTGCTGCTGCTGCTGCTGCAGGCTTACTGCTGCGTCTGTTGGCTCTGCTTCGTCGGATACCTCGTCGCCTCGGATTGCTGCTGCCAGCAGCGCAGCAGCAGCGGGAGCTGCTGCTGCTGCTCGCAGCATTACCTGCTGCTTCTTCAGCCGCGAAACCTCCAAGTCTGCTGCTGCTGCTGCTGCTGCTGTTTGCTGCTGCTGCTGCTCTGCAACACGAGCCCGCGCCCGCCAGCGCCCCAGGCGCAGCCGCAGGCGCCCCAGAGCGGCCTGCAGCGCGAGGCATTTGGGGCACACTCCTGCTGCTGCTGCTGCTGCTGCTGCTGCTTCTGGCTTTGCAGCGGCAGACAAAGCGGGGGGCGCTGCGGCTTCTGCTGCTGCTGCTGCTGCTTCTGGCTTGCAGCCGTTGTCTATCTTGCCCTCGCCAGCAGCAGCTGTCTCGTCCGCAGCAGCAGGGCCAGCAGCAGCAGCAGCAGCAGCAGCAGCAGCGGCCGCAGTGGCGGCGGCGGCGGCGGCGGCAGCAGCAGCAGCAGCAGCAGCAGCAGCGGAGCAGCTAATCAGCTGCAGCTGCTCCAGCAGCGGCTGACGACCTGCGGCGATTGGTCTTCAGGGTTAGTGCAGCAGCTGCTGCTGCTGCTGCTGCGACCGAAGCCGCCGCCTGCTGCAGCAGCTTCTCCTCCTTCCAAAGAACAGCTGCAGCAGCAGCAGCAGCAGCAGCACCTGCATCACTAGCAGCAGGAGCAGCAGCTGCTGCTGCTGCTGTATCTTGCTGCAGCTCTTCTTTGCAAGGGGGATTTGCTGCTGCAGCAGGCGGCCCTTTCGGTCGCAGCAGCAGCAGCAGCAGCTGCTGCACTAACCCTGAAGACCAATCGCCGCAGGTCTTCAGCCGCTGCTTGAGCTGCTGCAGCTCATTTGCTGCTCCGCTGCTGCTGCTGCTGCTGCTGCTGGTGCCGTTGGGTAAGCTGCTGTTGCTGCTGCTGCCGCTGCACGCTGGCAACCGCCGCAGCAAAGCAGAGAGAGCATCCTCTTCATCTGAGCTTACTTCCTCCGCATTGCTGCTGCTGCTGCTGCTGCTCTTCTTGACGTCTCCGTTGCTGCTGCTGCTGCTGCTGCTGCTCTTCTTGATATCCCCATTGCTGCTGCTGCTGCTGCTCTTGTTGCTGCTGCTGCTCTGCTGCGGGGTGCTGCCGTCAAAGAGGCATAAACCTGCGTGTACACCCCAACATGTTGAGCCAACTGCAGCAGCAGCAGCAGCAGCAGCAGCAGCAGCAACAGCAGCAGCAGCAACAGAAGCCACCTCCAAGTAGCGGTCTGAGACTACAAAATTCGCATCAGCAGCAACAACAGCAGCAGCAACAGCAGCAAATACATGCGCGGCTTTTATACCTGGCCGCTGCAGCAACGCCTGTAAACTCCTCTGCAGCAAGACGTCCTCGTGCTGCTGCTGCTGCTGCTGCTGACCCAGCAGCAGCAGCACGTTAGCGTTGAGAGTCGCCCAGGCATCCGCAACAGCAGCAGCAACTGCTGCTGCTTCTGCTGCTTGCTGCTGCTGCTGCTGCTGCTGCCGCCGCAGCAAATTCAGCTGCCGGCGCTGCTCCTGCAGCGTCCCGCGCTGCTGCACCACCAGCCTCGCCAGCAGCTCATCGTCCTGAAAGCAAAACCCTAAACCCTAAACCCTAAACCCTAAACCCTAAACCCCAAACTCGGAACCCCAAACCCTAGACCCCGGACACCAAAAGCCCTGGAGTTGCAGGCAAGGGAACGCGCCAAAAACTCGCTGAACGCCGCAACTCGTAAACCATAAACCCTTAATCCTAAACCCTAAACCCGAAACCCTAAACCCTAAACCCTAAACCCTAAACCCTACCTCCAGGGGCAGTTTCTCTCGAGCCTCCTCTAAGGCGTCCTGGAGCTTCCGCTTGCGCTTTGCCTGCGCGGCGGCCGGCGTTTGCGCCATTGCAGCTTTCCATAACCCCAGGTTGTAAACCCTAAACCCTAAACCCTAAACCCTAAACCCTAAACCCTCGGGGCGGAAGCCTGGGGGCCCTCGGCAGAAGCCGATCATCCCCCAGGCCCTGCGTGTTGGCGGCTTCTAACTAGACTGCAGCGCACAAACCCTAAACCCTAGGCCGCAAACCCTAAACCCTAAACCCTAAACCCTAAACCCTAAAAGATAAACTGGCGGCTCCAACTAGGGGGCCCCAAGCGCCCACCCGGCAGCACAGCCCCAGCAGCTGCGCAGTGTTTGCATGCGTTTGTTGCAATTAAAAAAAGAATTTGAATTATAATTTAATTTTTGAATTATTGATTATTTAAAATAAGAAAATTTGGCGAGGAAACAGCCCCGGTGGCGGCCGGCGCGGTACCCCGGTGGCCGCGCGTTCGTCCAGCCCCTCCGGCCATTTTGTTTTGCTTTTTCTTTTTTATTCCTTTATTTTTACTTTTATTTGCAAATTAAATTCAATTTGAAACTCTTTTGAGCGAAGAAGAGGCGCCGTTGCCGCGGTTGCTCGGGTGTATGTACACCCCGCGGCGCCCCCAACATGTCTGGTGTACATACGCCGCACGGCAGCAGCAACGAACTCCCGCCTTCTTAAACGCCACTTCTTTCTTTGTTCGTTTATTTACTTTCATTTCCATTTATTTTTAATTCCCAGAATTCCATTTGGCCCCTCGAAGGCAGCAGCTGCTGCTCGCTCGGGTGTACAGACACCCCGCTGCAGCAGCGCATATTCCCTGCAGCTGAACCAAAAGAGTTAATTAGTTCGCAGCTTTTGGCCTTTTGTTAATTAGAGAAGACCTTTAAACGAGGTCTTATCATCTTCAGCAGCAGCAGCAGCAGCAGCGAAATGTCCCCCGCAACAATAAATAGCTCTTAGTGAAAATTCGCAATTAGTGAAACCTCAAATTCATTTTGTCCCTAAAACAAAAAAGCTACCCAAGTCTTCCCAGGGCCCAAGTGCAGCAGCAGAGCAGCAGCTGCTGCAGCAATCGCAGCAGCAGTAACAGCAGCAGCTGCAGCAGCAGCTACAGCAGCAGCTACAGCAGCAGCTGGTATAACGACTGCTGCAGCAGCTGCAGCACCAGCTGGCATAACGACTGCAGCAGCTGCTCTCGCTGTTTCCGGTGCTGCTGCTGTTGCTGCAGCAGCTGCTGAAGCACCAGTGGAAGCAGCAGCTGCAGCAGCAGCAGCAGCAAAGACACTGGCGCTAAGACGGCGGGCAGCAGCCGCATCCGCTGCTACTGCTACTGCTGCTGCTCCTGCTGCTGCTGCTGCTGCTCCCGCTGCTGCTAGCCCTGGCTAACCCCTGCGTGTTGCAGTCCAAAGGAGAAGAATAAATAAATTGATTTTTAATTAATTAAAAAAAGAAAAAACTTCAAATTAATTATTTTCATTTTTTGAATTCTTTTCTTTATTCGCCATCTCCAGCGCCTTCGCGGCGTCGCGAAGATTCCTGAAGGCGCAAAAAAAGTTAAAGTTCATTTTTAAACATTATTAATTAATTCTTTCCATTTATTTTTTTATTTTATTCATTTATTTATTTATTTATTATTGATTTATTTATTTATTTATAGAGGTGCAGAAGGAAAGTAAAAAGTAAAAGTGAGAAAACGCAAATGGTGAAAATGGCGCATTTTGGCGAGGTTACGTACACCCGGAGGCGCCGGAAGAAGCGGAATTTGGGATTCTTGCGAAAAAGGCAAAATTGGGAAATAAAAGAAAGAAAAGAGCGAAATAAAGTGAAAAGTGGAAATAAAAGAAAGAAAAAGAATAAAAAAGAGAGAAAAAGCGGAGAAAACGGACTTGGGAAGCTTCCAAGTGGGCACCCGCTCCTTGACGGCCGCGGCCTCCAGCTGTACGTACACCCCAAACTCCCGCAAACGCTGCATCACTTTTTGCGTCAACTCTTCCGGAGTCGAAGCAGAAGCAGAAATGGCAATTCGCTTCACTCCAGCCAGCCACTCGGCCTTCACGTCCTCCGGCGAGTTCACCAAGTACGCCCTGCAGCAGCAGCAGCAGCAGCAGCAGCAGCAGCAGCGGAGGCAGCAGCAGCAGAAGCGGCAGGATTTCGCTAGGTTTACATCTCCTTAGCTAGCTAGCTGCCTCCCTAAGTGAACAACACCCCATCTCTGTGAGTTAGCGACTAGCCAGCTAGCCATTTAGCTAGCTAGCTAGCTATCCAGATAGCTAGCTAGCTAGCCAGCTAGCTAGCCAGCTAGCTAGCCAGCCAGCTAGCCAGCTAGCCAAGCAACTCAGCGCCTAGCTAGCTAGCTAACTAGCTGTCTGGCTAGCTGTCTGCCTGGGCTGCTGTCTGGCTAGCTTCCCGTCAGCTAGCTGTCTAGCTAGCTATCCCTCAGCCACATCCCCCTCCTAGCTAGCTGCCTAGCTAGCTGCCTAGCTAGCTGCCTGGCTAGCTGCCTGGCTAGCTGCCTGGCTAGCTGCTTGGCTAGCTGCCTGGCCAGCTGCCTCTCTAGCTGTTTGGCTACCTATGGCTAGCTGCTTGGCTAGCTGCTTGGCTAGCTGCTTGGCTAGCTGCTTGGCTAGCTATGGCTAGCTATGGCTAGCTGTTTGGCTAGCTATGGCTAGCTATGGCTAGCTGCGCTGACTTGGCGCTGGGGTTTGCTGCTGCTGCTGCCTCGAGGAGCCTGCGGGCGTTGGAGCTGCTGCTGCTGCCGACGACGAGCAGCAACTGGGCCGCTGCAGCAGCAGCAACAGCAGCAGCAGCAAACTGGCGGTTGGCCGTGGCGTAGCAGACGGAGCCGCTGGGGATCGTCTCCGATCCCGGGGATCGTCTCCGGATCGTCTCCTCCAGCTGCATGCACTCGCGAAGCCCCAGAGTTGTTTGCGTGGCATAAAACACTTTTGCTGCTGCTCCCAAGTCCACACTTGCTGCTTCTGCTGCTGTCTCCACCACTGCAGCAGCAGAGCCCTCGGGGCACTCCCCCAGCACGCCCTGCACCTCCACTGCAGCAGCAGCAGCAGCAGCACAGCAGCAGCAGCAGCGGCACAGCGGCAGCAGCAGCAGCGGGAGAGGAGGCACATGCATGGCTTTCCAAACAGAAAACCACGGCAGTAGGGGCCTGCTGCTGCTGCTGCTGCTGCTGCTCTAAGTCCCTAAAACTGGCCTTGCGACTACCGCTGCAGCTGCCCTACCGCTGCTGCTACCTCGCCGCTGCTGCTACCGCTGCTGCTGCTGCTGCTGCTGCTGCTGCTGCTGCTGCTGCTGCTCTAAGTCCCTAAAACTGGCCTTGCGACTACCGCTGCAGCTGCCCTACCGCTGCTGCTACCTCGCCGCTGCTGCTACCGCTGCTGCTGCTGCTGCTGCTGCTGCTGCTGACCGTGGTTTCTGTGTCCGATGAGGACGATCTGGTACCCCTGTCGGGCCTTCTGGTGTACGTACACGTGGACCTTCTGGACCAGTGGACAAGTGGCGTCGATGACTTTCAGATTTCTTGCTGCTGCTGCTGCTCGAGCAGCAGGAGGGACTCCGTGGGCCGAAAACACCAAAGTGCTGCCTTCGGGAACTGCAGCAACGTCTTCCACGAACACCGCCCCCTTCTCCTGCACACACACGCGCTGCTGCTGCTGCTGCTGCTGCTGTGGCTGCGGCGCTGCTGCTGCTGTGGCTGCGGCGCTGCTGCTGCTGTGGCTGCGGCGCTGCTGCTGCTGCTGCTCTCGCACTGCGCTACCAAGGGCTCTCTTTTGCTGCTGCTGCTGCTGCTCTCTCGCTGCGCTACCGAGGCCTCCCTGCAGCAGCAGCAGCGGCCTCCCTGCAGCAGCAGCAGCAGCAGCAGCAGCAGCGTGAAAACTTACTTCTAGTTTTTTGCAAACATACTCATTGTGGACAATTTGGTGCTTCACATAAACGGGGGCCCCGAAGACCCTGAGGGCCTCTTCGACTGTCTCGACAGCTCGCCGGACTCCTTCGCAGAAGCCCCTGGGTGCTGCCAGCAGCGCCACGGGGGGTTCTGCTGCTCCGGGTCCTGCTGCTGCTGCTGCTGCTGCTGCTGCTGCGTTCGCAGCAGCAACAGCAGCAGCAGCCCCCGACGCAGCCTCCGCAGCCACTGCAGCAGCCAACGGCGCTGCCCCCGAACCCGAAAAGATCTTCCGCGCCAACTCCGCCTTTTCTGCTGCGGATGCGGCTTCTGCTGCAGTCGGCGCTGCTGCTGCTGCTGCTGCTGCCGCTGCTGCTGCTGCTGCCGCTGCCTCTGCTGGTGCTGTTGCTGGTGCTGCCGTCTGTGTCGCAGCAGCGCGTAGGCCTAGACTTTGGGCGGCGACTCTGTGTAGAGCCCTTAGCTGTCTGATGTCTTGGCTAAAAAGCAGAGGCCGCAACACCTGCTGCTGCTGTTGCTGCTGCTTGCTGCAGCAGCGGAGGGAGCTGCCGGCTCCGCTGACAGTGAAGGGAGTGACGGGGAGAGACAAAGAAGAAAAGAAAAAAAGACTGAGACAAAAGCGAGTTAAGAAGCAGCAGCAGGAGGGCCCCATCCCGGCGCCCAGGGAGCTCGGGGGAAAACGGGAAACAGGAATTTAATTGCAGCAGCAAGAGGCAAAAAAGAAGAAATAAATAAAGTTAAACTTGAGGGGAAGCTTTGAATGCATTTATCTCACGTTAAAGTGAAGAATCCGGAGCCGTTTTTGCAAGTTCGCTCAGATCCGCCGGTGAGGTGTACGTACACCCCAGAGCAGTATTGTTCAAATTGAATCGAAAAGGAAAAACCTGAACAAGGGAAGTTCTGCATGTCTTGGAGCGCTAAGCGGCTCTTTTTGGATTTCGCGAGACGATAAATGCAAGTTAATCAGAATAAAGATCAAATTAAATCAAATTTGGAAGAAAAAGACCTTAATTCGACCCAGCGGCCGCGAAATGTGAATGGCAGCTGCCGACGAGGGGGGAAAGCGGGGGAAAAAGGAAAGCAAAAGGACGATCGCATGGGTTCTAAGGAAGAAAGCATTATTTTAATTTAAAATTATAAATTTTAAAATCCAAATTTTAAAAAATTCATCTCAAACGAACTCAACAGACGCCGTCTTGCATGCAGCAGCTTCCGACGCGATGTGATCGCCGACGGCGGTGTGCAGCAGCCAAATGAATTGAAATAAATTCAAGTTAACTCATTTTCTCAATTAAATTATGTTATTTTCTATTTTTAAGACTAGGGTTTAGGGTTTAGGGTTTAGGGTTTAGGGTTTAGGGTTCAGGGTTTAGTGTTTAGGGTTTAAATCTTTTCTCGCCTGGGAACTGCTGCGCGCGAGCGCCCTCGCGTGGTCTGTCAACATTTACATTCTTCATTTAAAGAACCGCAAATATAAAAAATAAATTAAATTAAATTAAATTAAATTAATAAAAATAAATAAATAAATAAAGATGGCGAATTTGCTGCAGTGCCCTCCGCACAAAGCCCCGTAGCAAGACAGCAAATGGCTGAAATGCGAAATGGGAAAAATGGAAATAAAAGAAAAGACAATTAAAATGTTTTAAAAGAATAAAAATAAAAAGAAATAAATTCAAAAGAAAAGATAAGTTGAAGTGTGGCGGAAGAATGGAGAAGATCATCCAAAGAAAAGAAGCAATAAGAAAACCCTAGCCACAGCTAGCCATAGCTAGCCACAGCTAGCCATAGATAGCCACAGCTAGCCACAGCTAGCCATAGCTAGCCACAGCTAGCCACAACTAGCCATAGATAGCCACAGCTAGCCATAGCTACCCACAGCTAGCCGTAGCTAGCCATAGCTAGCCACAGCTAGCCACGGCTAGCCGTAGCTAGCTCTGACTGGCGAAAGCCAGCTACGAAGAGGTACAGCCAGTCAGCGGCAGCAGCAGCAGTAGCTAGCCAGGCCAGCTAGCTGCAGCTAGCTACAGCTAGCTACAGCTAGCTCCAGCTAGCTGCCACTAGCTGCAGCTCACTACAGCTAGTTGCAGCTAGCTACAATTAACTACCGCTAGTCACGAAGCTGCCCATAGTTGGAGCTGAAAGTGCTGCTGGGGAGAAGAAATAGCTGCTGCTGCTGCTGCTGCTGCTGCTGCTTTCCTGCATTTATTCTTCCAAATTGAAAGACAGCCTCATCTAAACTTCCTTTAGCTGCTGCTGCTGCTGCTGCTGCTTTCCCACATTTATTCCTTTAAATTGCTGCTGCTGCTCCTTCTTTTCTTGAAGCTGCTGCGCTGCTCTCTCTTGTGCAGCAGCATCAGCTGCCTAAACCCTAAACCCTAAACCCTAAACCCCAAACCCTAAAGCCAAGACCTTAAACTTTAAACCGTGAGCCCTAGAGCCCAGAACTCAAAGCGAAGTCCGCCACGAGGGTTTAGGGTTTAGGGTTTAGGGTTTAACAGGGCAGCGGCAAAAAGGCCAAAACCCCCGATTCTCCTAAAGTCTGTCTCATATTAACAAGTAAAGGGGGAATGCATGCAGGAGCGCATGCAGCCCCAAGCTGGGGGCCCCCCTCTCTTGCATATCGGGGGCCCCCTGGGGGGCCCCCCGGGGAGCCCCCCCAGGGGCTCCCCTGGGGGCCCCACGGGGGGCCCCCCGGGGGGCCCCCCAAGGGCAGCAGCAGCAGCAGCGAGAGCTCTGTGAAAAGCTGCTGGCCAACTCTGGCCAAATGCAAACGGCTTTTGCTTGCTGCTGCATGCGGATTGCAGCGCGGGCAGCCCCCTCTTGCTGCTGCTGCTACTGCTGTTGCTGCTGCTGCTCTCCGCAGCGCCACCTGAAGCGCAAACAAAGAGCCTTTGAGGTCCAATGCAGCAGCAGCAACGAAGAAATGAACAAAAAGAAATTTAAAATAATTAAAAACAAAAAGAAGGAACAAAACGCAAACCAACTCGGGTGTAAAGGCAGCTACCTGGGGTGTACAGGCAGCTAGCTGGGGTGTACAGGCAGCTAGCTGGGGTGTATAGGCAGCTAGCTGAGGTCTATGGACAGCTGGAAAGCTAGCCGACCTTCATGGCAAGAGTTCCCATTTCAGTTTTATCTTTGTTTCCACTTTTGGCGACGAAGCACTCCCGGACTAGAACGGTGAGTTCGAGGGCGTTTCTTGCTGCTGCTGCTGCTGCTGCTGCTGCTTCTGCTGCTGCAGCTTCGCTACAGACCCAGGGCCTGATCTCCGTCTTGTGTTTTGCTGCTTCACTTTTCGCCTCTGTCGCATTTTCCATTTTCTCTCCCGCCTCCCCTTCTGCAGCCCCCGCTGTTGCTGCTGCTGCTGCTGCTGCTGCGCAGCTGCATGCAGCAGCCGGCGGCTCGTAGCCAATCTCCCAAGCAGCAGCAGCACCAGGAGGGGCTGCGAAGGGCAGCAGCAAAAAGCGAAAAGTTTGGAGACTTCTGCTGTAGCTGCTGAGGTCTTTGGCGAAGTAAGAAAGGTCTGAGTGGCTGCGGAACAGGTTCGGGGCTCGCAGCCCGTCTGGTGCTGCTGCTGCTGCTGCTGCTGCTGCTGCTGCTGCTGCTGTTGCTGCTGCGGCCGGGGGCGCGCCGGCAGCAGCGGCGGGCGACGCAGCAGCAGCAGCTGCTGCGGCTGCTGCAGCGGGAGACAGCGCGCGCAGCGACGTCTTCTTCTTCCATAGGCACAAGTCCAACTCGACCGCCTCTGTTGCTGCTGCTGCTGCTTCCGTTTCTGCTGCTGCTGCTGCTGCCGCTTTTTCTGCTGCTTCTGCTGCTGTGCTGCTGCTGCAGCATGCGGAGGAGTCAAGGCTGCGAGCTGCAGCGGGAGGTGCCAGCCTCCTTTCAGTGCCCAAAATCAAGCCGCAAGACCTGCAGCTCACTGCAGCAGCAACAGCAGCAGCAGCAGCAGCAGCAAAAGCAGCACAAGCAACAGCAGCCGCCACAGCAACAAATGCAACAGCAGATACAACAAACGCAGCCGCAGCAGCAGCGCCAGGCACAGCAGCAGCCTCGCACGCACCCCCCGCAGCAGATGCGTCTGAAGCAGCAGCAGCAGCAGCAGCAACAGCAGCAGCAGCAGCAGCAGCGTGTGTGTGCAGGCCCTGACCTGCTGCCTGGGTAAGGACGCCCTCGTCTGCAGCAGCAACATGAGGACCTCGAAGCAAATTAATGGCATTTGCGGACGCCAAATAAATCATTTCTTCCCCAACAATGATCCTAAAGAGACACAAAACCAGCAGCAGCAGCAGCAGCAGCAGCAGGGGGATGGCGCGAAGAGGCGGCGGTTTGAAGCAAAGGAAAGCGACTCAACAGTGGTTTTGCTGCTGCTGCTGCTGTTTTGCTGCTCCTGCTGCTGCTGCGTCGCCCGCGCTTTCGGCCAGAGAGCCAGACTTGAACGCCCAGCAGCAGCAGCAGCAGTAGCAGCAACAGCAGCAACAGCAGCAACAGCAGCAACAGCAGCAGAAGCCAGTTTTACCTCCCCGGCACCGTCGCCGCCACGCGAGGCATCCCGAGAGCAGAAGGACACTCTTCGCAAGACTGAGCAGCAGCAAACAAATGAAATTAAAAATTGAAATAAATAAAAATAGAAATAAAAATAAAATGAAATAAATAAAAGGAAAAATAAATAAAAGACAAAAAGAGACAAATAAAAGTCACGAAGGGCGCCAACTGGCAGGCTATTTGCTCCGGAAGAAGCAGCAGCATGAGAAACGCAAAAAGGGAAACAAATAGCTGCAGCAGCAGCAGCAGCAGCAGCAGCAGCAGCGCAGGCGGCCCCACACCCTGTGCTGCAGCTGCACGGCCAATTCGGGCAAAACGCAAAATCCACAAGAAGAACTTATGGGCCCCAAGGGGCCCTCAGTTTGGCCCCAAGTGGATTTGCTAGTCAAACACTTCGCTGAAAATGGACTTATGCTGCTGCTGCTGCTGCTGCTGCTGTTGCTGCTGCTGCTGCTGCTGCTGTTGCTGCTGCTGCTGCTGCTGTTGCTGCTGCTGCTGCTGCTGTTGCTGCTGCTGCTGCTGCTGTTGCTGCTGCTGCTGCTGCGCGGTGAGCTCCGTTGAGTGGTGATCTACGGGATTTAATCGATGAAATGGTTTATTTGAGTTAATGAATTATTTTAATTGATGAACTAATCCAATAAACCAATAATGGTATTCACTCAAACAGACCACTGGTCTGTCCGGCGGTGTCGCCTGGTGCAACTGGCAAATAAGAACCAACGAGTTCAAATTTTCGAATTATTTAATTATTTAATTATTTCAATTAAATAAAACCTTTAAATTATTTAATATTTCAACAATTAAACAAAAAAGATCCTAACAAACGCAAGAAGTACTCCAACAGTCGCCCGCTGCTGCTGCCGCTGCAGCCAGTGCAGCGCAGCGGCGACCAAATTGCTCAAAAAACTGCGCAAATTGGCGGGAAAAGAAGAAATTAATTTAAATAAATTAGAATTAAATTAATTAATTTAATTTAATCCAAAACAAAGACTTTTACCGATAAATACACCGTCTGGGGCCACAGCCCCGAAGGCAGCAGCAGCAGATCTGCTGCTGCGCACAGCCACAGCGACTGCCCGCAGCGCCTGAGCAGCAGCACCAGCAGCAGCAGCAGCAGCAGCACGAAAGTGCAGACTTCCTTCATTTCTTTTCCTTTTTTTGGTTTTCTTTTTTAATTTTCTTTTTATTTTCAAAAAGAATTTCATTTTAAACCAATTTGCGCAAAAAAACGTAAAAAAAGCAAAAAAGGAAAAAGCCCAGCGGTGGCACCACCCAAAGTGGACTCCACTGAAAACACCGAATTAAATGAAATTTCTTTATCATTTTGTCTATTTATTTATTTATTTTATTATTTTATTTAAGTTATTTATTTATTTATTTATTTGTTTGTTTTATTTGTTTGTTTTATTTTATTTATTTATTAACTAAATAAGAAGACAAAAACAGTTAAGAAAAATAGGAAAAGGCTGATGAATCCTCGCAGTGCAAAAAAACAAAAAATAAGTTAATCGGCCCATTATACAATAAATGTGTTTATTTATTTATTTATTTTATTTATTTATTTTAGTTATTTATTCAATTTAATTTAATTATTTGGTCTATTTACTTTATTATTTATTTTATTATTTTATTATTTATTTTTTTAAACGAAGACAAACGGAGTTGTGTGGGCCGCCGGTGAAATGCATGTGCGGACTAATTAGCTGCCAACTCCAGCAAGAAATGAATTTAAATAAACAAATAAATAAATTTAAATTAATTAATTAATTAACTAATTAGTAACACAACTTTAAATTAATAAAATAATGATAATCAAATAAATAAATCTGAATTACAAGCATTTTTATTTTCACTTATTATTTGAACTCGAGAAGGCACACGGCGAAACGGCGCAGCCCAAAAAATCAGCAGCAGCAGCGAAAGCAGCAGCAGCAGGAGCAAAAGCAGCAGCAGCAGCAGCAGCAGCAGCAAGTGGCTGGCAGTCCCCATCTCATGAAAAAAGCGTAAATATCGAGCTAACAGCAAGCAGACAAATAGATGAAAAGAATCCAAGATTAAATAGCAAAGAAATGGCAAATTAATCCAGCAACAGCAGCAGCAGCAACAATAGCAACAGCAGCAGCAGCAGCAGCAGCAGCTCACCTGCAAGCCACCCAGAGGCCCCGCAGCTGCCGCAGCAATTTGTCGCTCTTCTCCTCCAGGGCCCTCCACACAAAATCGGACCTCAGCGAACTTTGCAAATAAAGCTTCAAAGTCAAACCCTGCTGCTGCTGCTGCTGCTGTTGCTGCTGCTGCTGCTGATGGCGGTGTTGCTGGTGTGGGTTGGGGCGCCCTGCTGCTGCTGGTGCTGCTGCTGTGTCTGCTGCTGCTGCTGCTGCCGGGTCTGCTGCTGCTGCTGCTGCTGCGCGAGTGGCAGCTGCTGAGGAAAGGGTGGAGAGAGGCGGCATTTGCTGCTGCAGCGAAGGGCTAGGGGAGCAGCAGCTGCGAAGTGAAATTATTTGAAGCTAAAAATGAAGAACTAAATGAATAAATGAATTTAAAAAGAGACAAATAAAACAAATGGAGGAAGTTGAGACAATTAGAAGGTGGAAAGGGCGCCAAGTTGGGGTGTATCGACACGAAAACACGAAAAATTGAACGAAATAAAGACGGAGAGTTCAAATGCAAAAGACAAAAGTGAAGCAGTCAGAAGATCCCCTTAGCAGCGCTTTGAGTACATATGAGGTGTACGTACACCTTTAAATAACTAAAAAGAATAAATCTGAAAAAAGAATTTCATTTTCATTTCCATTTCCTGGAGTTTCCGCCCCCGGCCACCGCGGGCATCGACCCCCGCAAGGGCCGCCAGTTTCGGTTTCTTCGGGGCTTTCCGGCTCCCTTTTTGTTTGTTTTATTTAACTTGATGAATTAAATAAAATTAAAACATTAAAAATAAAATTTGAACGAAAATAATGCCGCTTTCCACTCGGGGGCCCCCGGCGGCCCCCGAGGGGGCCCCCAATGGCTGCTACTGCAGCGAGGTGTACATACACCTGAACTGCCGCCATTAGTTTTTGCAAATTTGTTTTTCTTTTATTTTCATCAAAACTAAAACTTCTGCTTATTTTGCAAAGTTTGAGGACTAGCGTGGGACCCAAACCCTAAACCCTAAACCCTAGCCCACACAGCCAGTTCGCCGGAGCCCAAACCCCAGACCCTAAACACCAAGCCCTAAACCCTAAACCCTAAACCCTAGAAGAAGGGAATCTGCGTGGGTGCAAGATAAACCAGACAAAGCAAGATGCCTCCCTGGGGCCCCCGCTGCTCCTAGGGTTTGGGGGGCCCCCATTTATTAAAAAAGGGGCCCCCATCTAGTTCTTTTCGGACATCTGCTCAAACTCTAGGGTTTAGGGGGCCCCCCGTAGGGTTTAGGGGGCCTTCCGCTGGCCACAAGACCCAGCGGGGCGCCTCAAGGGGCCTGAGGGTTTGGGGGGCCCCTCAATTGGCTTAAAGAGGGTCCAGTGGGGGCCCCCAATGGGTTTGAGGGTTTACGGGGGGCCCTGGGGGCCTCCTTAAACCCTTCGGGGCAGCTGGGGCCCCCAATTTGGCCCCTGGGGCCTGGGGGGCCCCCCCGGGGCTTTTGGGGTTTTGGGGGGCCCCCAATTGTTTTAAAAGACCCTAAATTGGGTCAAAAGAAGCAAATAGAGAGACCCCCAACTGTCTTGAATGGGATGGGGTCGCTGCTGCTGCTGCAGCTGCAGCTGCTGTTGCTGCAGCAACAGTTAAGTAGCAGCTACAGCCACAGGAGCTAAAGCAACGGCAGCAGTGTCAGCAGCAGTAGCAACAGAGGTAGCGGCAGCAGCAATAGCAGCAGCAGTAGCAGCGACAGTAGCAGCAGCAGCAGCAGCAGCAAACCACTTCTGGGGGCAGCAGCTGTTTGCTTGGTGCTGCACTTGCTGCTTATAAAATCCATTGGGGGGCCCCTCTCTGGGGGCCCCCACCCTGGGGAACCCGGAGGCCCCCAAAAAATTCCACTGCAGCACTTAGCTGCAGCAGCAGCTACGTAGCTGCTGCTGCAGCAGCTAGCTAGCTGCTGCAGGAGCTAGCTAGATGCTGCAGCAGCTAGCTTGCTGCTGCAGCAGCTAACTTGTTGCTGCCGGCTGGCTAATACATAGACACAACTGCAAGGCAAGGCCCTCAGCCCATCTTCTCAAAATGGTGCAGCTAGCTGCAGCTAGCTGAAGCTAGCTGCAGCTAGCTGCTGCTGGCTGGAGCTAGCTGCGGCTATTTATAGCTAGCTGGGCCGTCTGTGGCTAGCTGCAGCTAGCTGCTGATGGTGTTGGCTTGCTGTAGCTAGCCGTGGCTAGCTGGAGCCCGCTGCAGCAAGTGCTGCAGCTAGCCACAGCTAGCTGCAGCTAGCTGGCACTCGCTGCAGCCGGCGCTGCAGCTAGCTGCAGCTAACAGCTAGCTATTTGCCTGCAGCTAGCTGCAGAAACCTGGGGCCTGCTGCAGCTAGCTGCAGCTAGCAGCAGCTAGCTGGCAAGCCCCAGGGAAGCCTCAGTCCCCTCACAGCAACTGTTGGGGCCCAGAGGGGCCCCGGGGGCCCCCAGAGGCCCCCCTGGTACACAGGGGCTGGCTTGGGGCTTAAGAGTTTTGCTATTGGGCTGGAGTTTAGTGTGTTAATAGAACAATTAAAGACATTTGCTGCTGCTGCGGGCTGGTTTGTTGTCTCTGCTGCTCCGCCAAGGGCATTTGCTGCTGCTGCTGGGTGATTTATTTAGTTAAAATGCATTTAACACGTTTGCTGCTGCTGTTGGCACTTGCTGCTGCGCGCGCTGCTGCAGCAGCAGCGATCAGTGTGGCCTACACACAGGCGTGGTTGGCGCTGCAGCAGCGGATTAAGGCCTTTTCTGGCTTTAGTTGGACATTTGTTTTCGAGTTTAATTAAATTAAATGGATTTTTTCGTCTGGAAATAGCGTATTCGGGCGGATCGCCGGGAAAGGAGCGGATCGAGTGGTGTACGTACACTCGAGCCACGCTCGAGTGCGCCGGCGCTGGTGGTCTGTTGGTGTCACTTCTGTTATTTCTGCCTCGGCCTTCTTTATTTTCCTTCTTTTTTTGCATTTTCCTCCATTTTTCCCGTATATTTTCCTTCCTTTCTTTAATTCAAGAAGGCAGAAAGCGGGCGGCGGGAGAGTTGCGTTGACCCGGCAATCCCGCAGTCACCTGGACCCCGCGGCGCGCTGCAATGCGCCCCAGTGGCTTCCAGCTCCTCTTTAGCCTTTTATTTCTCATTTATTATTCATTTGTTTTCTTCTTGGGAGGCGCGAAGCAGCAGCGGCGGCCCCGCAGCAGTGGCCCTGCAGCAGCCGCGTCGACGGACGCCTACAGCCGCGCCCGCAGCTGCAGCAGCCGCAGCAGCAGCAGCAGCAGCAGCAACTGCAGCTCTTCTCCTCTCCCTCCACTTGCCCTGGCCTTCGCCTAGCGCTCCCTTCGCCGCATTTGCTGCAGCCAACACCCTGGCTGCAGCCAACTGCGAAACACCAGTCTTGAAGGCTCCCAAGCAGCAGCACGAGCAGCAGCAGCAGCAGCAACACCACCAATAGCAGCAGCAGCAGCAACAACACCACCAGTGGCAGCAGCAGCAGGACCTGAACCAGCAGCAGCAGCAGCACCCCCACCAGCATCACCACCATCATCACCAGCAGCAGCAGCAACAGCAGCATCACCCTCAGCACCAGCAGCAACAGCAGCATCACCCTCAGCAGCAGCAGCAACAACAGCAGCAGCAGCAGCAGTCCGTTTGTTGCTGCAGTTTGGCTTCCCCATGCTGCTTGCAGCTAGCTGAGAGGCCCAGTCTTCAGGTGTACGATGAGCTCCTCTGCAGCTTTTCGGTTTTCTGCGCTGATGGGGGCAGAAGAAGATGCTGCTGAGGGTCCGCTGGTCGCGCTGCAGCAGCAGCAGCAGCAGCAGGAGGTGCAGCAGCAGCAGCAGCAGGAGGGGCTCGCGTGCGGCGCCGCGGCAGCAGCAGCAGCAGCAGGCAGCTGCGACTTTGCAGCAGCAAGAATGGACTCGTTTTCGACGCAGTCGTTTGCTGCTGAGCAGCAGCAAACCGAAAGTGAAGAAGATGATTGGAGTCTTCAAGACGCAGCAGAGGAGGGGGAGGCTGCTCCCCTAGCTGCTGCTGCTGCTGCTGCTGCTGC